CTGGAATAAATCCCACTTGATTATGGTAAGTGATCCTCTTTTTTTTTTTTTTTTTTTTTAAAGTAGGCTCCATGCTGGTTGTGGAGCCCAGTGCGGGGCTTGAACTCATGACCCTGAGATTAAGACCTGAGCTGAGATCAAGAGTTGGATGCTTAACCAACCGAGCCACCCAGGCACCCCATTGATCCTTTTAATGTACTGTTGAATTTAATTTGCTAATATCTGGTTGAGGATTTTTGTGTCTATGTTCATCAGGGATATTGGCCTGTAGTTTTCTTTTTTTGTAGTGTCTGTCTGGTTTTGGTATCAGGATAATGCTGGGTTCATAGAATGTATTTGGAAGCATTCCTTCCTCTTCTACTTTTTGGAATAGTTTGAGGAGAATAGGTATTAACTCTTTTTTGAATATTTGGTAGAATTCACCTGTGAATCTACCTGGTCCTGGACTTTTGGAGTTTTTTTTTTTAAGTTTGTGTATGTATGTATGTATGTATGCATGTATCTCTATGCCCAAGATGGAGCTTGAACTCATGACCCTGAGATGAAGAGTCGCATGCCCTTTGGACGGAGCCAACAAGGCGCCCCTCAGAGTTTTTTCTTTGAATCAATTTTGTTACTAATTGGTCTGTTCAGATTTTCCATTTCTTCCTGATTTAGTTCTGGAAGATGATGTTTCTAGGAATTTATCAACTTTTCTAGGTTGTCTGATTAATTGACATATAATTTTTTGTAGTATTTTATTATAGTCCTTTATATTTCTGTTGTGTTGTTTGTACTTCTCCTTCATTTCTGATTTTATTTATTTGGGTCCTCTCTACTTTTTTTTTTTTTTTTTTGGATGAATCTAGCTAAGGGTTTATCAATTTTGATGATTTTTTTTTTCCGAAGAACCAGCTCTTGGTTTCAGTGATTTTTTTCTATAGTTTTTTTTTTCCTTAAGTCTCTATTTCATTTATTTCCCCTCTGATCTGTATTATTTCATTTCTCCCACTAACGTTGGGCTTTGTTTGTTCTTCTTTCTCTAGTTCCCTTAGGTATAAGATTAGATTGTTTGAGATTTTTCTTATTTCTTGAGGTACACCTGTGTTGTTCCAAATTTCTCTCTTAGCATGACTTTCACTGCATCTAAAGATTTTGGACTATTGTGTTTTCATTTTCATATGGCTCCATGTATTTTTGGATATCTTTTTTTTTTTATTTCATTGACCCATTGCTTGTTTACTAGCCTGGTGCTTAGCCTCCATGTGTTTGTGTTTTTCTAGTTTTTTTTTTTTTTTTTTTTTGTAATTGATTTCTAGTTTCATTCCATTCTGGTTGGAAAAGATGCTTGATATGATTTCCATCTTTTTAAATTTATTGAGACTTGTTTTGTTGCCTACCATGTAATCTACCCTTAAGAATGTTCCATGTGCACTTCAAAAGAATGTGTATCCTGTTGTTGTTGGATGGAATATTCTGGATATATCTGTTAGGTCCACCCGAGCTAATGTGTCATTCAAAGACACTGTTTCCTTATTGACTGTCAGCTTGGATGATTTTTCCATTGATGTAGTGGGGTGTTAAAGTCCCCTACTATTATTATATTATTGTCAATTTCTCCTTTTATGTCAGTTAAGATTTGGTTTATGTATTTAGGTGCTCCAGTGCAGGGTGCACAAATATTTATAATTGTTAAATTCTCTTGTCTGATTGATCCCTTCATTATTATGTAGTGTGCTTTGTCTTTTGTTAGTCTTTGTTTTAAAGTTTATTTTGTCTGATACAAGTAATGACACGCTGACTTTTTTTTCACTTTCATTTGCATGGAATATCTTTTTTCATCCTTTCACTTGGAATTTGTATGTGTCTTGGGTCTGAAGTTAGTCTCTTGTAGGCAGCAATAGATAGATGGGTCTATCTATCTAATAAATATGGTTTATTTTTATATTTTATTCATTCTATCACTCTGTCTTTTAATAAGAACATTTAGAGCATTTACATTTAAAGTGATAATTGGTAGATATTTACTTATTGCCATTTTGTTAATTATTTTCTGGTGGCTTTTGTAGCTCTCTGTTCCTTCTTTCTCTCTTTCCTTGTAATTGATGAGTTTCTTTAGTATTGTGCTTGCTTTGTAATTATTTTTTTGTGTACCGATTACAGGTTTTTGGTTTGTGGTTCCAAGAGGTTCATAAATAACATCCTAAGTGTATAGCAGTCTATAATAAGTTGATGGTCACTTAAGTTGAACACATTCTAAAAGAACTTCGTTTTTACTCCCTGCCTTCATTTTCTAATGTATAATTGTTGCCTATTTTACATATTTTTATTCTGTGAATCTCCTTTCCTTTCATGATTTTATTTCTAATTATTACCTTTTATTTTCCACTTAAAGAAGTTTCTTTAACATTTATTGTAAGGCCAGTGGTGATAAACTTAACTTTGTTTGTCTGGGACACTGTTTTCTTTCCTTCAATTCTGAATTATAACCTTGCTGGTTAGGGTTTTCTTGGTTATAGATTTTTTTCCCTTTAGCACTTGGAATATTATCAAACTACTCCCTACTGGCCAGCAAAGTTTTTGCTGAAAAATCAGCTGATAGCCTTATGGGTTTCCCTTATATGTAACTAATTGCTTCTCTTTGCAGCTTTAAAAATTCTCTATCTTTAATTTTTGATATTTTAATTATTGTGCATCATGTGTAGGCTTCCTTGGGTTCATCTTGTTTGGAACGCTCTGTGATTCCTGAATGTGGATGTCTCCAGGCTAGGGAAAGTTTCAGCTATTATTTCTTCAAATAAGCTTTAAAGAATAAGCTGACTCACTTGTTAGGGGGAATAATGCAACTAGTGACTTTAAGTTGAAGCCAGTGTTCATTTATCATTCCAAAAATCTTACGGCTCTTCAGAATTATGCTAAGTCTATATTACCTGTGCTCTCTAAATAGAACAGCAAAGCCTGAATGGTAACACATTTGTTTACAACATGGTTTACTGAGTATTCTAAACCTACTGTTGAGACCTGCTCAAAAAAAAAAAAAAAAAAAAAAAAATCTGTTTCTAAATATTGCTTCTCATCAACAATGCATCAGGTCACTCAAGAGCTCTGATGGAGATGTACAATAACATTAATTTTCATGCCTGCTAACACATGCATTATGTAGCTCATGGATCAAGAAGTAATTTTGACTTTCAAGTCTTATTATTTAAGAAATACATTTTGTAATGTGATAACTGCCATAGACAGTGATTCCTCTGATGGATCTGTGAAAACTAAACTGCAAGCCTTTTAGAAAGGATTTGCTACTCTAGGTGCCATAAGGAACATTCATAATTCATAGGAAGAGGTAAAAATATTAACATTAACAGGAATTTGGAAGAAGTTGATTTCAACCCTCATGGATGACTTTGAGGGGTTTAAGACTTCACTGGAGGAAGTAATGGCAAATATGGTAGAAATAGCAAGAGAACTGGATTTAGAAGCAGAGCCTGAAGATGTGACTGAATTGTTGCAATCTCATGATAAAACTTGAACACATGAGAGGTTGCTTCTTATGGATGAACAAAGAAAGTAGTTTCTTGAGATGGAGATCTACTCCTGGTGAAGATGTTGTAAATATTGTGGAAATGACAACAAAAGATTTAGAAAATTACATAAACTTTGTTGATAAAGCAGTGGCAGAGTTTCAGGGGACTGACTCCAATTTTGAAAGAAGTATTACAATGGGTAAAATGCTATTAAACAGCATCACATGCTATAGAAAAAAGGAAGTTCACAAACTTCATTGTTTTATTTTAAGAAATTGCCATAGCCACCCCAACCTTCAGCAATCACCACTCTGATCCATCAGCAACCATTAATACCAAGGCAAGACCTTTCACCAGTGAAAAGACTACAACTTGCTGAAAGCTCCTATGATGGTTAGTATTTTTTAGCAGTGAAGTTTCTTAGCAATAAAATATTTTTAGACCTAATACTATTGCACTTTTGATAGACTATAGTATTGTATAACCAGAACTTTTATATGTACTGGGAAACCAAAAGATTCCTTTGACTTGCTTTATTGCAATATTCCCTTTTGGTCTGGAACTTAACCTACAGTATCCGAGGTATGCCTGCATTTGTAATTTTTCACTGGATGCTGGACACTGTGTCTAGAGCAGTAGAGAATGAGATAAATCAGAAATAGGCACATTTTAAAAATTCTATCAGTCCATGACTGTGGGGAGTTGATTTAATCTAATGAGCAGTTTAGATGGGCTTGAGGTTTGTTGTTTGTATGGTTACCTGCAGTGCACCACAGACTTGAAATTCTTCTGGTAGTAGGTTGCTATTACCTTATGTGTAGTATGTGGATTCCAATGCTGGAGGGCTTTTTCAATGTATGTTCCCTACCTGCAGCTTTTAGGAGACCTTTTGTGATCTGATCATCTTAACAAAAGTTAAAATTTTATGTACTAAATTACTCCATTTTCATATTGGTAGGGTATCTTATTTTTTTTTTTTTTTTAAGATTTTATTTGTTTGACAGAGAGAGACACAGTGAGAGAGGGAACACAAGCAGGGAGAGTGGGAGAGGGAGAAGCAGGCTTCCCACCTAGCAGGGAGCCCGATGCCGGGCTCGAACCCAGGACCCTGGGATCATGACCTGAGCCAAAGGCAGACGCTTAACGACTGAGCCACCCAGGTGCCCCAGTATTGGTAGGGTATCTTGTGGTTTTCTACTTCTTAAGTGTAGTTAGAACTACACAATTTTTTTTTTTTTAAGATTTTATTAATTTGACAGAGACAGTGAGAGAGGGAACACAAGCAGGGGGGGTGGGAGAGGGAGAAACAGGCTTCCCACTGAGCAGGGAGCCCTAGTGGGGCTCAATCCCAGGACACTGGGATCATGACCTAAGCCGAAGACAGACGCTCATCTACTGGGCCACCCAGGCTCCCCTACACAATATATATTTTTTTAATAAACCCCTTTTCATATCAGTTTACATAATAAGAATTCTGGCTGCTGATGCTCGAGTGCGCACCGCAGCGAGGAGGTGTCCTTGGCTGTGTCGCTTGAGCCGGGACGCGCCTCCGCGCTCCTTGCTGCCTCCACCCCCACAGCCGCCGCTCTCCTCGCAGTCTGCACACACACCATGACCAAGAAGGAGAAGAAGTCCTTCAACCAGAGCCTAGCTCAGTGGAAGCTCTTCATCTACAGCCTGACCACCGGAGAGTTACTGGGGTGCACCGCCAAGAGCTGGGGTTTGATCTTGCTATTCTACCTAGTCTTTTATGGGTTCCTGGCTGCACTCTTCTCATTCACAATGTGGGCTATGCTTCAGACTCTGAACGATGAAGTTCCAAAATATCCTGACCAGATTCCTAGTCCAGGACTTACGGTTTTTCCAAAACCACTAACTGCATTGGAATATTCATTCACTGTGTCTGATCCAGAGTCCTATCAAGGGTACATTGAAGACCGTAGGAAGTTTCTAAAACCATATGATTTAGAAGAACAGAAGAATCTCACAGCCTGTCCTGATGGAGCACTTTTTGAACAGAAGGGTCCAGTTTATGGTGCATGTCAGTTTCTTCTTGCCTTACTTCAAGCATGCAGTGGTGTGGATGATCCAGAGTTTGGCTACTCCAGAGGAAATCCTTGTGTTCTTGTGAAAATGAACAGAATAATTGGATTAAAACCTCAAGGAGAACCAAGGATAGAATGTACTTCAAAGAGTGAAAACACAGCAGCTCTATCAACTTATACTCACAATGGAGTTATAGATTTAAGATATTTTCCATATTATGGGAAAAAACTTCATGTGAGTTATCTGCAGCCATTGGTTGCTATCCAGGTTTCCTTTAATGCTACCAGCAGTACCGTAAATGAAGTAACAGTCGAGTGCAAGATTGATGGGTCACCCAACCTAAAAAACCAGGATGATCGTGACAAGTTTTTAGGACGAGTTGTGTTCAAGGTCACAGCACATGCATAGTAGGAGTTAGGATATCTCCACAGAGTATATGTTGTGTTGTCTGTCTTCATTTTGTATCAGCTGGACCTGCCATTCTAGAATCATGAGACCATCTTGGAGATAGGTGGGGTGGTACATGACACTGGGGTAACATCCTAATGTGCTTCCAGACCGTAGTGTTCAGTGTCCTCTGACATAACTGCCTGATGCTTCTGCTGCCTTTTGAACCAGTGTACAGTCGCCAGATGGGGACCGTGGACACCAACTCCGAACACGTGGGATGGGGGTCTGGTCTTATTTTTATGCGGTTTAATTGCCAAGTGTCTAAAGCTTGCTGTGCTGTGTAAGTATTTTATAGACTTAACACTGGTTAACTGTCATATTTTGATGCCAGCCAAGTTTTAGGGATAAAATGGCACCTGAACATCATCAAGTGACTCTATAGCTCCAAGAACTGTGGTGTGGGGAGTTCTGTATGTGAGGAGGAAAAAAAGAAATAAAAGTGGATTTGAAAGGTTAGAAAAAAAAAAAAGAATTCTGGCTGCTAAAGGAGGCAATATATGGCAATAGTGAAGGGCAAGCAAAAGAGTTCAGACACAACTGGTTTTGAATCCCAGCTCTTGTTGATTTTCCTGGCTAGGTGATCTTCAGCAAATTATTAAACTCTGTCATTCACTTTCCTCTTTTGTATGGGAAGGACTGAATGAAATAATGTAAAATGGTTAACAATTCCTGACCATAGAAAATGCTGAGTGAATGGTCATTATTACCATGCTTACTCACAAAATTTAAATCTGGTGAGAGTAGAGGGCAGACTGTAGCGAGCAGAGCCCATGAGTCTGGAAGAGCAGTTAGCAAATACGTTCAGGAGATGAGAGTCACAAGGGCTTGAAATAGGACTGCAACAGAAGAGATGGAGAAGATGAACTTACAAAGGCTTATGTGTAATCACCGGTTCCCTCGTGTGGTGCCATGGGCCTGTTCTTACATCATCCCTGTCCTTCTCTGCCTCTTCCATTAACCTCTGTTCAGTATGGTATCCCATAACCTTAAAATTGTCTACATGTCTGTCTTTCTCTACTCAGTGGGAATCCTTGGAGGGATGGGCCATGTGTGACTAGGGCTTCATACGGTGTCTGGCATATAGTAGGCATCAGCAAGTTTTTTGTAACTCAACAGAAAAGTTGTTCTATTCTCTTTCTTGCTAGTGCTGTCACTGTTCACATTGTCTGTTGTTCAATGTACGGTTGTTGGAACATTTCCAGCAGCTGTGTCAGGCTGAGTAACTCTTCCATTTTGATTTTAGCCAGATCCTAGATTTTCTGGTGATCTTGTCTTACCTCTTGGTGTTCTGTAGGGAGAAACACTGCTGTGAAATATGTTGGGGTTTGGGGCCTCAATCAAACAGCTAGACAGTCCCACTGCTTTGATTCATTTGAGAGCTTCATACTCTGTTACTTTCTATTTATGTCCGATTCCACAAAGATACTTTTCTTGATTTCAGTCCCCATTTCCTTGCCTGTTAGTACACAGTTAACTAATGGGTAACCTGAAGGGCAGAAATTACCTGTGCTGCCAGTGGTGTCTTTTCCCTCCTAACAGGAAACCCACGATGGTGTGTGCTTTCTGGCTTCTAGGTTTTATCAGCTTATTTCCCCGTGTGTAGGTCTTATGTAACATGATGAAGAAAATTATATTTAGCAGAATTCCTTTCAGCAAGAGGGCTGTTTTGTTTAAAAGAAATTCCTTGACAAATTTTCTTGGGGTGGGGGAAAAAAAAGAGAGAGCTCAAGGGACCTCACTGGGAAGAGAACAAATAGGATTGAAAAGATGGGAGGTTTGTCTCTGGCGCCTCCAGGATCTGGAGCCAGAGAGATGAACGAAAGCAGCTCACTTTGTAATGGGACTCCTCTTGACTCTCCTTCACCGTCTCCCACATCATTAGTAAACCTACCAGCTTCCTGTCGTGCTTGGAATGAGTGGCTTTAAAAAGAAACAAAAATTAACATAAGAATTGAAAACAAAAAACTTGTACATGAATGTTCATAGCAGCAGTATACACAGTAGCTAAAAGGTGGAAATAACCCAAAGGTCCATCAGTGAACGAATGCATGAATAGAATGTGGTACATCCATACAGTGGAATATTACTCAGCCATTGAAAAGAATGGACTACTGAGACATGCTCCAACACGGATGAACCGTGGAGACACTGTGCTGAGTGAAAGAAGCCAGGCATAGAAGGCCACATATTGTATATTCCACTTATATGAAATATCCAGAATAGGCAAATCCATAGGGACAGAAAGCATAGTAGTGGTTGCTAGTGTGTAATGTGGAGTGAGTGCTTCATGGTAATGAGGTCTCTGTTTGTGGTGATGAAAACTAGAGCCAGATAGTGGTGATAGTTGTACAACATTGTGAATATGCGTAGTGCCCCTCGATGGAATGAGTAAATTTTATGTTGTGTATTTTACCACATATGTAGAGTGTAGGGGCTGGGCTCTGAATGCACCTGGGTTGGAGAGAGCAGCCAGGGCAGACAAGGGGGTATGAAACCAGAGGAAGTAAATTACAAGAATACCTAGAGAGACATGGAAGGCCTTTGATTCTTTCATGGCATTGGGGTTTGGGTTAAGGTTAACCAGACATTTGGCAGCCCTAATGGACTCAAAGAGAAATGAGAACTTTAGAGATTGCTTTTTTAAAATTTGAAAGTGCAAACAACTTCTGGATGATGTGTAGTATAATGAAATCTGAAGTATATAGACATTTATAGACTTGCAGTCGATCTAAATTTATAATATTGTTAGAATGATTTTTTTTAGGGGCACCTGGGTGGCTCAGTTGGTTATGTGTCTGCCTTCAGTTCAGGTCATGATCCCAGGGTGCTGGGATTGAGCCCTGCATCAGGCTCCCTGCTCAGTGGGGAGCCTGCCACTCCCCGCTTGTGTTCCCTCTCTCTCTCTCAAATAAAATAAATAAATAAAATCTTTTTAAAATGATTTTTTAATAGTTTTATGGGCTGAATGTTTGTATTCCCCCACCCCAAATTCTTATGTTGAAATCCTGACTCCCTATGTAATTGTGTTAGGTAGTAGGGTCTTTGGGAGGTAATTATTCCTAAGGGTGGGGCCCTCATGAATGGGATTAGTATCCTTATAAGAAGAGACAAGAGAGCTTGTTTCCTCCCTCTGTGAGGAAATGAACGTTTGTTGTTCAAGCTACCCAGCCTGTGGTAATTTGTTATAGCAGCCTAAACTAAGACATGTAGTGTTGGGTGATCACTTGATCTACTTATTATCAGTTGTGGGCATGGTTTGAGTCTGTTCAGTGGTAGAATTCTCAGAGCAAAGTTCAGCTTTGTGAATATGGAAGGAAGTCCTGATTCCAGTTTTTACCACCATTACTATATCTCAAATATGGATATAGAAATTTATATAATAAGAATGACCCAAGTATAAAGCTTTCCTACAATTGTCTGTGGAGGATAATGCTAGGAACCCCAAAATACTAGAGATGCAGGCTGGAGCAGTGGAAAGAGAAGGGACTTTGTCATTGGACCACATGCTTGTATACCAGCTCACTAACCACTGATGTGCATGGTTGGGAACATTGCTAAATAGTTGGTGTGGAACCGTACCAGCATCTCATCCTGATAAAGAGCGGAGACCTGCTAGGACTGTTTGTCTTCTTGTCCTTAGCCCCCATGTCTCTACTGGAACCCTGGAGGGCTACTTGATCCTGTATGCTGAGTCATGGTGGCAAGTCTCCTTTATGAAGAAATCACAAAGCATTTCTTCAAAGCTTCATCTCCTTCAAGTCTTTGCTTAACTCTGACCTTTTCAACAAAGCCAGCCCTGAACCATTTAACACTACTCTTCCCAAACCCATTTCCCATCCCTGACTTTGTAGTACTTTTTCTTTTTCCAATAGAGTTTATAATCTTTTAACATTATAGGTCATTTATCAGATTTATTCTTTATGTTGTGTCCTCTCTCTAAAATATAAACTCCGTGAGGGTGATGTATTTGTCCTTTGCTTGTGAGAAATTAGAATCCTTTTCACTATAAGTTATATTGACCTTTTGCCAACTTAGAGATGACTTTACCTATATCCTGTCATCCTGCTTTAGCCCTCAGGGACAAAGTTATCATTGCTCACCTCACCAAGGTCTTTCCTGCTGGAAATCCAGTTCATAGGTACCTGACTTCTGTGGAAATCTCAGTAAAAATTAGTTTTTATTTTGCATGTTAATAATGTTGATTTTGAACTTCAGTGAAGTAGTTGAAAGTGCAGCATGAACAATTTCATCCACATTGGAAAACATAGATAATGATGTTGCCAATTCTTAAAATAGATCTTGTTTGGCTAGTAAGAGCCACTTTTTAAAATAGAAACTTTAGCTACATAATTTAACATTTAGATTTTAGCTTAAAAGTAATTCATGTACTTATTATAGCCAGAGTAGCTCTGTTCTAGAATAACTCTCAGTGCGGGGCGGGGGGGGGGGGGGGTCAGATATCTAAAAGGACACCCAGTAAGACCACACCGCCCAGTGACATCTCCAAACATTTCCTTAAAAACACAAAGAGAATAGCCACATTGTCATAGACACAAACAAGTCAGTTCTGGTCCTACGTGGAGACTGACTGAGGACTTTGATGATTTCGTCTTTTTTTTTTTTTTTATGACAGAATGTACATGTTCAAAGGATAATTTGACCTGAGAAAAAACTGTGGTGGTCAGGAAAAGTGAGGGCAACTTGCGCTTCCTCTTGGTAATGGGTAGTGTTCGGGAGATTTTATAATATCAAACATACAATTTTGATATGTGGTCCTAAAATTTATTCATGCATGCTGCCCTCTCACTCCTTCCCATTCTCCGTCCCTCCATGATTTCTGAGACTTTTTCAAATATCAGGCCTCGTGCTAGTTGGGCGGGGGTGTGTGTGTGGAGACTGAGGTGAATAAAACTCTGATTCTGTACCAGGTAACACTTTATGGCCTAGCGACTAGGTAAGTTTACATATTGTAAACCTTCTATCACTTCGATCTGTAATAGGCATTGCAAAGATTTGGTATGGGGGAGAGAGACTCTTACGAATATGACATTAACAGACCTGAACTAACACCAAAACATTGTTCATAGCTGAAGAAATATTATTTTCTTCAAAATTAAGTGTTAAATATTTTCAGGCCTTCCTAATAAGAGCAACAAATCAGAGTCCAGGCTAAGGGGTCACTGAAATTTTCCTAGCCCCATAGCCATCCAAAGTCCCAGGCATGAGAAAAAGACAACATGATTTTTGATCAAGGCCAGCAGTGTGCCGTGGGGGCGGGAGAGCAGTCACATTTGTTAGATGCAGAAGAGAGTAAAATCCCCAGTGGCAAACCTTGGCTAGCATGGGATGTTCCGCAATGCTTGGGGAGGAGGCCAGACCACTGTTGCTTTTGTTTGGTCATAGATTGGCCAAGGGAAGTAGACAAAAGTCGACGAAGACATGGTAATGTTGGCAAGAAGAGATGGCAGTGGAAGGCTCCAGTCAATATAACAGTGGTGGGTTTTTTTTTTTTCCTCTTTTTTTTTTTTTTTTTTAAAGATTTTATTTATTTGACAGAGGCAGCGAGAGAGGGAACACAAGCAGGGGGAGCGGGAGAGGGAGAAGCAGGCTTCCCGCTGAGCAGGGAGCCCAATGCGGGCCTTGTTCCCAGGACCCTGGGATCATGACCTGAGCTGAAGGCAGACGCTTAACGACTGAGCCACCCAGGCGCCCTCTCTTTTCCTCTTTTAAATCAGTGGTTTTTGCCTCTCAACTCCAGGAGTATCAGAATCTCATTGTCAGAAAGGAAATAAGATCACAAGCGTGATTAAGTTGGTGGAGATACTGAAGCTATAGAGAAGTGCTTGTGAGATTGGCATGAGGACCAGGCAGAGTCCCAAGGCACTGACATCATGGAACAGCCAAGCCAGACATGGTCCCCATAAGGCAGAGTGTCAGCAGCATCGTCTGCTTCCTGCTGCCATAGCTAAGTCTTGAGGGGTTGTAGTGGAAGAAGTAAGCATTCCTCAAATATTTTCATTGAACTAGAAACTGACTTTGGCTGGTTGGTAGTTTAACAGTGTAATTGTTTTGAAGGTTACAATTTGTGTGATCAGAGACTCACTCAGCCTAACTCCAAGATTGGATGGCTTCACTGCAAGAACTCACACAGACCCAGATAATAGTCCTGTTGCCAGGCCTGTGGGAACCCAGGAACACCTCTAGCCAGGCTTCCTGAGCCGGGGAAAGAGTTCAGTCCTCAAAAAGTCAATGAGGACACACTGTGACTCCAGTGGTGAAGTCTTGTCCCTTCAGTATCAGGACTTCACGAGATCAACCCTGGTTTTCTACCCGCCTCAGCCAAGCTGAGTTCTCTTTGTTCTGACTGTCTCTGAATGTCATTCTGCCTATGTACCTGTTCCTAACTGCTCCTTCTTCCTGAAAACTCCCTAAGAGAGAAAATCTTTGGGTTTAGCCACTGCCCAATATGGGATTATTCTCCTCTCGGCTAAGATTGTCTTACGGCAGCTTATAGGTTGAGATGCCAATCCAGTCCCCAGTGGCTCAGGTGGTAGGTCCTGTGCTACAGAATATGCTTAGGGTAAGCAGGGTCAGGAAATAAGGCGGTCTCCCTCAGAAAGGGCCAAACAAGAGGCAGGTACTCAAGGTTCTTGCTGGAGCAGTTTCACTATAACTAGAAGGCAACTAACCATAGTCTGATCCCCTGGGTGGGGTGGTGTGTATCACATACAAAAGATCAAGGATGGCCATGATGTCAGACCCTATCCTGAGGTTTATAAATAAACTGACAAAATTCGTATGAACACATCACTTGTCTCCCTTACACATCTCTGGGGCTTTGTCCCAATGATCCAGCTGCTGGTAAGAAGATGGGGTGGCAAAGTCAGGTGAGAGCACAGTCTTAGGAACTGCAGTCCTGGCTTCTAATCCCAGCGCTGTGACTTGACTTTATACCCCTGTGATGTTAGGTGACCTCTTTGTTTTTCTGTGTGTTTTAAGATTTTGCTTTTAAGTAATCTCCACACACAACATGGGGCTCGAACTCGTGACCCCAAGATCAAGAGTCGCATGCTCCACTGACTGAGCCAGCCAGAGACCCCCAGAAAACTTCTTTCTATGCCTCAGTTGCCTCACCTATAAAATGGTATATGAATACCTACCTCATGGACTTGTGGTAAGGCCAGAGAAGAGGGAGTATTGTATCTTGAATGTTCTAGGCTTTGTCAGCCCAATGTAAAATACATGTCTGCTGCTTAATGCCTCTAATGTCACCTGGGTAGGCTCTCAAGCCTCCCTGTTCTTGGGGCCATTTTGGAGTCCCCTAGAAGGGCCTGGTTATCCACCTTGTTGGGGCAAATTTCTGTGAATCTGTGGTTCTTTTGACACAACAGTTATTTCTTCCAGCCACTTGGCCCTGTTCCTACTGAACTCTTTCCAATGGGAAGGGAAATACCTCTTTCCCCCTTATGTCAGTTCTCATTGGGAGACAAGCAGAATCTACCGTGGTAGCAGGTTTCATTGCCCACTTCACCTCCTTGGAACAGGGTACTTCCAGCAGCATGGGTTGGCTTTAGGGGTGCATTTTGTTTTTACCCTAGAACCTTCTCTTTCCTGGACCTTTAGATTGTCCCCAGAGGGCGGGTTTCACTATATAGAAAATTTCCCCCCCTTTACTGGTGATGATCTTCCTCCAGTGGCTTCTCTTGGCTCTCATCCTTGTCCATTACCCATGTCTAAATGCAAGCAATGGACAGGGATTCAGTTCTCTGTCCTGCAGCTCAGAGAAAACTGAGAAGGTGCTTGGTACAGAACATAGCTATTCTGGCTGTGTCATGGACCCAGCAGAGCTCTTGAAGGATGGTGATGCCTTAAGTCCACAGCCAGGGCCTTTCAGTCCTCTCCCCTCCCAGCTGCAGCCCCAGGAGGCCTATGTAAAGTGCTTGGCCAGTTCCCAACACAGGAAGAGGCTCAGTCACTGGTGGTTACAATCATTATTTTTATTGCTGCCCAGAACTACTTTAAAATTAGTGCTCTCTGGTTCTGTCTAATCTAATCTAATCTAATCTAATCTAATTTAATCTATCCATACAGCCATCCAATTTATTTGGTCTCGCTGTATTGGAGTTCTCCAGAGAAACAAGAAACAAAGTCAATAGGAATATATATATATAATCCTTATATGTATATCTGTATGTGATATATTCCAGCATGAATGTGTGTGTATATATATATGTGTATATATATATGTGCATATAAATGCATGTATAATGGGCAATTTATTATGAGGACTAGGCCCCCATGCTGATGGAGGCTGGGAAGTCCTACAGTCTGCTGTCCACAAGCTGGAGCTCCTGGAAAGCCTGGGGTGGAATTCTAGCCTGGGTTTGAAGGCCTGAGAACCAGGGGAGCTGATGGTGTAAGTGTCAGTCAAGGGCAGGAGAAGAGCAGTGTCCCCGTGCAAGAAGGCAGGCAGGTGGGAAGAGGGCAAATTCCTCCTCCCTCCGCCCTCCATGTCATCCATGTCCGCAGTGAATTAGATGATGCCCACCCACAAGGGGAAGGGCAGTTCGCTCTACTGAGCCCACAGACTCCAGTGCTGACCTCATCAGGAAACAGCCTCAAAAACACACTCAGGGATGTTTCACCTCAATACCCATGGTACTGTCAAGCTGACATAAAATTAAACATCCCACTATACTATCTCGTGTGTGTGTGTGTATAAAAATATATTACATATAATGATATGTTTATAATATAAATACTGTATGTTGTAAGTGTGTATATATATATATAAAACCCCCAGAATATACGCACATGATATACATTACACACACATGCACACATATACACACATACATAATCAGTTCTTTGGAAATAACTGACACTCTTGCTGGTTGCTCATCATACTTGGTATTTTCAGGGATTTGTGTCAAGCTTTTATAACTTCAACTGTTAAAAGAGACAGAAGCTTCTTAAGGAGAAGTTAACCTTGGACCTTGTAGTTAAGGATAAGCAGAACTTCTGCAGGGCATGTGGATTGTCCTCTTTCTGTTCTCCTTTGTACACAACCGAACATTTCCACTGAAACAGTGTGAGGGAAATGCTGAGCCCCCCTGTGGCTTGTGCGTACTGACGACCAGGGGCCCGCTTCTTCGGGTCCATGGGCACCAGAGAAAACAGGAGACAAGCAAAAGCAACGTTGGCTGCGATCTGATGCCTGAATCTTCCTGCGATGACAAAGCTTTTCTAGTGGTTTGTCCTCATGGTGGCAGGTGCCTTTCATCTGGGAGGATGCCAGCAGACCTGCTTATTGTAAGTCTATTTGTGGATTCTGTTCCTCATGACTACCCATGCTGCTCCACAGAGGAGATGACTTCCGGCAAGTGGAACTCATAAATACTGTGTCATGGTTCATAGTCCCTCTGTGACCAGGAAGACCTGAGGAGAATTTGTGAGGCTTCTCTCTGCAAGAAGACTTTTTTATAGACACATGTGAAGTTTTAGAATTACCTGCTCTCTGATGGTTGATGGAGAGGCGTTTTCTTTTTTTTTCTTTTTAAAGATTTTATTTATTTGACACAGAGAGACACAGTGAGAGAGGGAACACAAGCAGGGGGAGTGGGAGAGGGAGAAGCAGGCTTCCCGCCGAGCAGGGAGCCCGATGCAGGACTCGATCCCAGGACCCCGGGATCATGACCTGAGCCGAAGGCAGACGCTTAATGACTGAGCCACCCAGGCGCCCCAGAGAAGCATTTTCTTTAAGCCAGATCGTCATCTGTATGGTCAGGTGAAAACATGGTGTCAGCGGTTTGCCGTGCCGGCGCATATTTGAACGTGGCATTCCGGAGCTCTCTTGTAGTTTGGCTCTGCGCTGTGAGGATGCCGCTGGTTGCCTCGGGAGGAAAGCACAGTCCCACGCCTGGAGGGCTGTTGGCCTGGGTGGGGGCCAGGTTGGAGGAGGGGTCATAGAGGGGATTTGAGCAGTTAGGCTGGGTCAGTTGGGGTCCCCTTCAATTCTGAGTGGCTTTAATTTCATAGTCTCAGAAGCTTTTTTTTTTTTAAAGATTTTATTTATTTATTTGAGACAGAGAGAATGAGATACAGCGAGCATGAGAGGGAGGAGGGTCAGAGGGAGAAGCAGACTCCCTCCCGAGCAGGGAGCCCGATGCGGGACTTGATCCAGGGACTCCAGGATCATGACCTGAGCCGAAGGCAGTTGCTTAACCAACTGAGCCACCCAGGCGCCCCGTCTCAGAAGCTTTTATCGAAGAGAATACTAAGGCAAGGGCTCCCAAACCCTGATGTGCTCTATTCACTTATTACCATCCTCTCTCTTTTCTTTCCTTTAAAATGAAATAATTTCAGTACAGTTTTTGAAAAGAGGGCGTGCAGTCTGCACATGCAGAGATGGAGACATAGCCCGAGGTCCCATGATCCAGTGCTCTAGCTCCTTGATGAGCGTGCACGAGAGCCTCCAGAGAGAACACAAACTGGAATACTTAAAAGCAGGTGGGACAAGCTCCTTTAATTTTGCTTATCCCTGGGCATCTATTTTCTGTGTACATTTGGGGTAAATCTATCAACCATGGAGTTCCCTTTTGATGTGAAGCTGGGATATGGGAGGAAGTGGAGCAGGGAAAGCCAACACCAAGGGAGAAGAGTTGAGGCCGAAAGAGGACAGAGGATAAAGGTGCCTTTCAGGCAGGAGCTGATTTCTTCTCTTTGAAAATCATTATCTTTATTTTTACCAGCTTCAGAGTCAACATGGTCTACTCCACTCTCACCTTTTTTGATTGCTTTGCTTCCAAACACGAACAGTTCGGTAGAAACCTGAGCATCGTGTGCTCTGGAGCCAAAGCATTGCTCTGGGGCTGGCTCTGCCCTGATGTCCGCATGAGGGCTGATGGCTGTCAAACATTTCTCTGACTTCAGGGAGCCGGAATGCCAGGGCGTATCAGGCTGGATCCTGGTCTTCGCTGAGACCCGGGAGCAGGCTCTTCATGTCGTGTCAGGTTTCAGAGTCCATGCCAAGGCAGATACACGGGGTGTAGACACTGGTGGATTTGTCCACACGGGCAGCCAGGGAGGAGGTGAGAGTTGGCACACATTACCTACTGGCAGACCACACGGGGCTGGTCACGTCGGACTCCGTGCCAGGAGGTTTGCAGAGCAAATCACAGGTGGCACCTGAAGCCTGACAAAATTGGTTGACTTCCTTCCTTCCCTTCCTGTTACTACAGCGTGGAGACAAGGTGGGACATTTTGTCGTACTCCAAGAGGAGATACTTGAACTGCTGCCCACACAGAGGCTGGTGAGGGAGACGTGCCCCCTTGACCGGAGGAATACGATTGTGTACACGTGGGGGGCTGTGCCTTTGAGCCCAACTTTGAGCAGCTGGGGGGGTGCAGAATGGGCTACCGAATCTTGCCTTGCTGTCTACAGAATTTTATGCCCATGCCCTAGAGCTTGTGCGACGGCCGGAGCGGCCTTTTGAACAACAGTGACACCAGTCTTTAGAAAGGTCTTGGGACGTCTCTGAGGTGGCCACGTAGAGCCCAAAGATGGCAGTGTGGAGGGGCAGTTCCGGGTGCAGGCTTGTGAGAACCACTCCGAAACAGCCCACGGCACCTTGTGGCTGTCAAGGTCTCTGTGTGGATGAGTTGGCAGCCCCCTGAAGGGAAGGCACCGTCCTGCCTTTTGAACTTAGAGGGCAGAACCTACTCGTAGCTGACATGCCCTGAGCTTCAGACCCTGGAAAGGACACTTGCCTGGATGATGTCATGTAATCGGCACAGCGACTTTATGAAGTTGCTTTTAGAGACGATGAGATCGAAGTTTACAGAAATTAAATAGCCTGCCCACGGCCGCACAGTCAATGAGAGTTAAGGCTGCAGTTGAACTCAGGCAGTCTGGTTCCAGATGCTCTGTTGGGGATGAATATTTTGTAATACAGACATGAGCGACCACCCTTGTAGTACTGAATAGCTGTTCTTAATTTTTCACTCATGTCAGGATAGAAGGAAGTGAGCTATACCTGTACAAAGTATTCAGTGACAAATCCAGTGACACTTCCTTAACTTGATTTTAAAAAAAGATTTATTTATATATTTTGGGCAGGGGAGATGCAGAGGGAGAGGAAGAATCTCAAGCAGACGCCCCCCCTGAGCAGGGAGCCCAGCGTGGGGCTCAATCCCACAACCCTGACATCATGACCTGAGCCGAAATCAAGTGGGACACTCAACCGACTGAGCCACGCAGACACCCCTCTTACCTTGATGCTTAACCAGGGTGTCTGAATCTCAGAAATGACGGGAACATACTGCAAATCAAATGACTCTAATTGGTACTTTAAGACAAGGAGGCTAAGGAAAGAGAATCTCAAGAAGGGAGTAGCCAACAGTGTCCCATGCTGCAGGGGGAGAGAGTAAAATAGGAAATTGGAAGATTCCCTCAGACTTGTGATTAGATTTCGTGAGCTAAAACTACTTATTGTCTCCTTGTATAGAAAAAGAGGTCTTTCCCCCCCTCTCACTTTTAATGAAGTAGATAATATACACCTGGAACTCAATTTTAAGCATGGAAGGGGTCTACAGTGAAAAACCTCACTGCCTCCCTCCCATCCCTGGCCCCAGGCACCCAGTTCCCTTTCCAGGAAGCAAACAATTGCCCATTTATTTGTATCCTTCCTGAGGTTCTCTATACACATGTAATAAATGTATATAACTTTTTTTTTTTTTACACATAGGTCATCATACTGTATGTAGTGTTCTACAGTTTTTTGTTGTCGTTGCTAATTTAACAATATATCTGTAGTCTTGTAGACTATCCTATAATAGTACAGCAAGAGTTTCCTCATGACTTTTTGCAGCTTCCTGGGGTTCCATGGTATGGATGTGTTCAAATTTATATAATGAAGGAATATTTTCAGCTGATACTCCACTGCCCAAACACCAACATCTAGGAAAGATACTGGAAATGGCCTTTTCTTTCAAGGACAGAATGTGCTATCTGGAGCTGAGTGGAGGACCAATCATGTGCTGAGGGTTGTCTGTACTGGGTCTAGTTGAACCCAGTGAGAGGCTGGGTTTACTTCTGAGAGGCTTTCTTAAAAACTACCACCCTGAATTAGGACTTAGAAACTTTATTTCTGAAAATGGCATAACTCTTATACACTGGCTAGAAGCAGCCCAGATACTGTCTCCAGACTTTTGGGAAATGAGATAAGTTATAAGTCTTTTTGTTTCTGTAACTCTAGCATCCCCAGAGTATCTAAGTATCTTAGTTTTCTATCCTTTGATTCCTAATATCCTAATATTCTTATTATCCTCTAATTCCTCATGTCAAATGGAAAAGGTTCTAGACTCACATCTGGCCAGTTCAAATTCCACTACTTACTCACTGAATGATCTTGGATAGTACCTGAACTCTTAACCTTGTATTTCCTTACCTGTAAAGCAGGGATTGTATTACCTATTTTCTTAAGTTTTTTTATTAGGATTAAACGACCTAACATTTAGAGCACCTAACAAAGTTCTTGTCATATATTGTTATATGTTATATATATATATACATATATATACATATGTTATACATATGTATATATGTATATATATATACATATATATATGTATATATATATACATATATATATGTATATATATATACATATATATATGTATATATATATACATATATATATGTATATATATATATATATGTATAGAGAATCTCAGGAAGGATACAGAAGTTTAAAATTGTTTCCTATTCTTTGCTCTTCTGCCTCTTATAAGATATCCATGCAACTGATCATTGCTGATTCTTGGTTTATGTTAACTTATAAATTGGAATAGATGTTTATAAATCAGTCTTCTGTGACTTTGGTTGTAATCTTGGAATATTAATGATGGTAGCACACTTGAAGATTATATAATCTGAGCTTTTTTTAAAGTAGAAGATACCTGACCAGAAATTTGTGTGTGAACTGCGTAATTTAAAAAAAATGCTCACAGAATTAACAACTTAAAACCTATTTTAGCAGCACAAACAAAAAGTAGCCCAAAAACAGTTTAATCAATTTTATCCTCAAAAAAGTTTATAGTTGTAGACTTAGTGTAAGTAACTTAGGGCCGCCTGGGTGGCTCAGTCAGTTAAGCAGCTGCCTTCGGCTCAGGTCATGATCCCGGGATCCTGGGATCGAGCCCCGCATCGGGCTCCCCGCTCAGTGGAGAGTCTGCTTCTACCTCTGCCTCTGCCCCTCCACCCTGCTCATGATCTCTCTCTCTCTCTCTCAAATAAATAAATAAATAAAAAATTTTTTTAAAAGGAAAATCCTGGTACCTAACAGACTAGGGACTTCCTGAATTGTGGCTTGGATTCTCTGGGCACATTTCAATTCTGAATCTGTGTCCACATCAGCATCAGTTTTAACAGTTCTGTGAAACAGAATGCGTTTCCTCAAAACCACTTAGAGTGATAGATTGTCCAGAATTTGTCAATTATTTCATGACTTATTTTCCCCGCAAATAGTAGAAACTCCTCACAAACGGTCTTAAGCCAAAAAATAAACTTACTGATATAGGTAATTGGAAAGAAAAAAAAAGAAAAGAGCTCCAGGTATGTCTTGATCCTGTCAGTGTAAGTTTTTGGTTACAAAAAATACTTAGGAGCTATTTTTGTTTAAAAAGTTGACTTCTGGGGGCACCTGGTGGCTCAGTTGGTTAAGCATTCGATTCTTGATTTTGGCTCAGGTCATGATCTCAGGTTCGTGAGACTGAGTTCCACGTAGGGCTCCCCACGCAGCAGGGAGTCTCCTTGGGACTCTCCCTCTGCTCCTCCCCCAACTCATGCATGCACACTCTCTCAATCTCTCTCTAAAATAAATTAAAAAAATTGACTTCTGGTTCGTTAAACCTGATCTGAAAAACCCAGTTTTTGTTTTTGTTTTTTTTTAAGATTTTATTTATTTGATAGAGAGCACAAGTAGGCAGAGTGGCAGGCAGAGGGAGAGGGAGAAGCAGACTCCCCGCCGAGCAGAGAGCCTGACACGGGGCTCGATCCCAGGACCCCAGGATCGTGACCCGAGCTGAAGGCAGCTGCCCAACCAACTGAGCCACCCAGATGCCCCAACCCACTTCTTCTTAAGGTTTAAATTCAATTTATAAATGATATTATTCTACAGATATATCTAGCAATTTTTTCATCTCAGACATAGTCATTTCTAGAAGTCCATTTTGGGCCTTTAAAAATATTTTCTATATCTTAATGTCTACCTTCTTGAATATGTGGAATACAGTTCTAATAATTGTTTTAATGTCTTTGTCTATTAATTCTGTCATCTGTGGCATTTCTGAGTCTGTTTGTTGAAATGTTTTCTCTTCATGATGAGCTTTATTGCCCTGTGTCTCATCTGGTAAGATTTCATTGGATTGCAGACACTAAACTTTGTTGGGTGCCTACTTTTGTATTTCTCTATTTCTGAGCTTTATTGCAGATGGTTAAGTTACTTGGAACAGTTTGATCCTTCTGCGTTTGGCTTTTAAGGTTTGTTAGGTGGGACCAGAACCAGCATTTAGTCTAGGGCTAATCTTCCCTATCACTGATAAGTACTTTGCAAATCTCCATGAATAGCTGTTAATTTTTCACTCATGTCAAGATAGAAGGAAGTGAGCTGTACCTGTACAAAGTACAGGTAATTGGTTGATGGGAACAGACACTATTCCCGGCTCCACTTGAGCAAAGAAGGTTGATCCTTGCAGGTGGTTCTTCACCTAGTTCCTCAAGTTGTTTCCTCACCATCTGCACTGACCAGCATTCATCTGACCCTCTGTAGATCTCTAGAACTTTCTTCCTGTGTAGCTCTCTTTTCTCCATTACTCAGCCCTGTGAATGCTAGCTACCTTGACTCCCCCTAATGCCCAGCTTTGTCTCAGCAACTCAGGGAGTCCTCTCCCTCAGCTCTACCTGTGCTACAGCCTGAAAAAAAAAAAAAATCTCTCCAGCAAGTAAGATGGGGCAATTGTAGGACTCATCTTGTTTGCTTTCCTTTTCTTAGGGATCACTGTCCTGTGCTTCCTGATGTTCAGTATCTGAGAACCATTGTTTCTGATATTCTGGGTGGCATTTCTTTGGCCCTTGTAGGATGTTTAAATCATCCGTTGGATTTTTTATCTCTTTAAGGCTCTGTCTGCTGCTGCCTGCAACACTCCCGTTACACTAAGGATAGACCCATGGGTTCAAATGATATCATTAGCACATCTCTGAGCTCTGCATTGTCTTCATCCTCTGGTGCCTTGTGGCCGGCCATATCTATAGCCTCATTTTAACGCCCTCCAGTTTAAGTCCGGCACATAGTGGCCGTCTTGTGCCTTTCCAAGCAGTGACCTCAGCAGGAATCTAATTGCTCTGTGTTGGCTGGGTTTGACTACTCCTCTATCCCTTTATCAATTACTGTTGTTGTCGGGGGTATAGTCAGCTCCACCTGAGACATATGAGTGAATGAAGACAAGACTGGGGTGACAAATATCAGGGAAAACGATGCTGACTATCAGCATATGATAGTCACTTAGCCATAATCCTTCAGGAGATCCTAGAGTTCCTGTGGCTGTTTCTAGATTCTTAGGACACCATGTCATCTTGGTACACGGAGCTTGCTTTTTTAGCACAATCAGCTGTTCCTGTTGAGAGTGAGCCACGTTGATGGGGCTGATGCTTGGTAATTTAGAACCATCCTGAGGTTTCCATTGTAAAAGCAGCTACAAATATTTAAAGTCTGGTACACACTCATCAACATTCAGGGATCTCTTTGGGTATCAATTTTTGAAATTCTGTGATTCTTTTGAACCCAGAGTAGCTCAACAAAGTGAAGTTGAATAGTTCCTAGTTCTCTCTGCTTAGTCTATGTTTATTTTGATGTGGTCACTATAGC